GGGGGAGGGGGGGGGGGGGGTGAAGCCAGAAATGTTTCAGAATCTGATGGATTCTTCTGGATTCAAAAATCTCTCTTAACTGCAAGTTGCATAGGAGTAAAGCCTGATGCAGTAATAATTATTGGTTTTATTATTGAAATAATTGCCATTCTGATAAAACCATTTTAGTTTTTTCTGGTTTAGGTTACTTGTTATTCAAGCAATAAAGCACTAAATACTTGTGCTTTTAAGAATCTTTCTTTTTTTGGTTAAATGATTAAAAAATTAATACCTTCTTTCCATTTAAATCATGTAAATAGTTAAGACTTATGCTGTAGCTAAGCTGATTCTTTCTCTGTTTTAAAAATAGAAAATGCTAGAGCAGTCCATCCCTTCCCCCACTATGTACTCACTAGTCCAAGCTAGTAAATGTTACTGAATGGATTTCAGTGTTGTAGCCATTCTACAGTAAGTACAGCAAGATCCTTTGAGAAGAAGCAAAAGGAGGAAAAAAAGGTAGTAGAAATCTATTTGTGGATGTTCGTCAGAGTACCTGCACCAATGACAGACAGGCTTTCCTCGAGAAACAAATCATGACAACAAACACTGCTGTTCAGAGGAGCCAGAATCTCCCCAAAAGACGCCTAGAAAGAATAGGGGAGTGTCCTGCAAAACGAAAAGCTAGCTGGGGTATTCTGACCAGCCAAGGTTTGTATAGCAGCCGTTTCAGAAACCGTGTGCTGAAATATGCTGAACTGACCCAATTTACGATGTTCTAGCTCTAAACTGTTTTGTTTCGGTTTGTTTTTCTAGCTGTAATATAAATGCATGCTTATGTTAGTGGCACTTTATTGTCTTGCATGGATTAACACAAGGGTGTTGAAGCTATTTTTATTCTTTCTTCACTCTTACCAGCTGATCTAAAATACCTTTTCTTGTTTATCTGCCCTATTTGTTTTATGCAAGTGTTTAAGGCTTGACCTACCCTGACTTTTTGCAGTCCTGTCACAAGGTAACTGGATACTGAAGGCTAATTGTTTACAACAGGGAATTGAGGAATGAAAGGAGACGGAGGAGCAAACTTTACATATAACTTTATATGTAAAGAGAAGTTTATAGGTAGCTGAAATAGGAGGCAATGGAGGAACTACGGGTGATGGAATTATTGTCCTGTACTGAGACACTAAAGACAAAGATATAATTGTAAGGGTTTATATAGAGAAGTTCTTAGGAGGTATTTAAGTTGCTGGACACTGACGTTTTCAGCAATGAGGAACAGACTCTATTATAAAAGAAGTGTTTAGTATTGCTATTGTCTGTGCCATATTTTCCTAATTTTTTCATAATATAAGTGTGTAAAAGGGAGCTCTAAGTAATTGCAAGAGTCTAATAGGTGTTTTTTAAAGAGTGATCATACTGACCTTATCATAAGGCTTAGAATGGAACAAAAAAAGAAAATAAGGATATCAAACTTGAAATTCTTGTTAATATGATAAATGGAGATGTTAAAACAGACAAGGAAAGGAGGCAATAGGAAAGAGAGACTTGATATATTGTGCATAAAAATAATTATGAATTTACCATGTAAAATGTGGTTCTATGTTTTAGGAATCAGAGTTATTCTTAAAATACCTTTGCTAATTTCCAATACCACCAATCTTAGAATTAAACAATATTCAAGAATTTAAGCATCAGTTACCATAGCTTCCCAAGTAGCTGTTTGAATGCAATGGTACTATAAAGTTACATTTATTAATCAGTTTTAATATGCAGTGTATCTTTTACCCTCCTATAGCTAACTGTTTGGGCTAAGATTTCCTGATCTTTAGCAACTTTTATTTATGGACATTTCAGCTAGTTAGGTCAGTAGTTCCCCAAAAAACTAGGACATTTTCCCTCAGACTGAAAAGAATAATTTTACGAAAGTTATCAATGTTAGCACTAGACACTCCTTGATATGGCCAGGGTTAGGCTCTTTTGCCATTCTTAGAAAGAAATAGCCACAGTTAGTCAAGTTTTGAAATTTTCAAAATCACAGTAAAATATGGAAAGTAAAATTTTCTGCAGAATCCAGCTTATGTAGCTTATGTCCAGCTACCTACAGCCTCTTTGTGACATCTGAACCGGGAGTCTATCGTTATTGACGGACATCTTGAAGTACTGAGAGACTTGTGTTGCAGTTGAGGCTTCTGGTTGTTGCAGTTCACTTGAGTAACAAGTATATCAAGTATCCAATCTGAAGGAGGCTCTTTTCTTCACTCTCTGTTCACATCCATGGAGGTGTCCACACCTGACTTTGTTCTTCAGGCACCCGTGCAAAGGAAAGTGCAAAGGAAAAGTCATACTGCAGGTTAAATATGCAGGTTAGAAAATGGACTAAAAGTGATGCGAGGAGTGGAATATCTCACAATAAGGTTTAGTAGAAAGGCAAAAGGATAGAGTCAGGCTAGAAAAGGTCTTCAGCCTACTGGCTTAAGGGTCAACAACCAGCCTATTTTACCAGAATCTCATGCATGTGGCAAAGATCAGCAGACTGGGCCCAGCTTTACTGCTCGGCTGGGTACTGCTTGTAATGCTAGGGATTAGGCTATGTGCTGCATTCACTTTCTGGCAGGCTGGGAAAATACCAAGAATACTGAGCACAGCTTGGAGAAAATTGCTTGCAGTCTTGGTTAAGGCTGAGACTGCACTTGATGACCAAAATTATTCCAGGCAGAAGTCCTCCAGAGTCTGAACTCGGCTCAGAATGTCTGTATGCCTTTTCTGTCACCTGGTGGGGAAGGCCACTGAAAAACCCTTACTTTGTTCTAGTGACTTGTCCAAGGAAATAGTAACAGCCTAAGAGCACCACCAGCTGCCACGTACTCAAGTCAGATCGTATGTGGGACTAACAGATTACTGAATTTAGAGGTTGATGTAATTTTACACCTTTGTGCTCTAGCTATGGCACACAGAATTTGCAAGCTACTTTCAGCTGGAAAAATATCTAGCCAGTTGTTGATCCTTCAAGAGGATGGAAAAAAACAATCTGTGCATGAGCAATGGACAGGGGAGTTGTTGCTGTGCTTTCATGTGATGGGAGAAGCAGCCTGACACACTTCTTCCCGTGTGTGCAAGGCCCGGCACAGAGCCAGCAGCAGCTGCAATCATCATCACCATTGCCTTCACGCAGCATAGTCTTGCTTCTGTTGGGAACCAAGAAAGCTATGTTTGGATATTGCTATTGTGGTGTTTTTAGGATTTTTAATACAGTTTAGTGGCTCATGTTTCTGTGTGAAAAGTATGTTAAATTGCAATCCCAAAGCACTCAAAAATTATGAATTGTTAAAAATAATGTTGCCTGTGCCATGCTGATTTGACCCTCTAATGCATTGTAACCCAGTATTTGACAACAGAGTCACATGCTGTACTTTTCCACAAAGCCCCTGCTTCTTTTGATGTGCAAGTTGGATGATGTTCTGAGAATGCATTAGGCTTCTACTCAGAAAAAATGCACCCTATGTTTTCCTGTGTGTTGCAGAGGTTCGAAGGCATTTAGTGAATGGTAAGAAAAAAGGGTTAACATTTTAATGTCCCTAAAAGCAAATTCTATTCTTGTCTTTGCTGTGGCACCTGTGTGTTTTAAGACCAATCATCTAACCTAAAGGTTTCTTGACTGATCATGGTTATTATTATCTAAGGCTGAAATTTCAGAAGCTCAAAGCTCTCATAACCATAATTAAACTGTGCTTTCAGTGTACACTCTAAAGCTTAAGTACTCTAGAAAAAATAAGATGTTAGATTGGCTTTACAATGTAAGCATTAAAACTCCCTGTCTTTTGGTTCCTTAGTTATAGTATGAATAGATTATGTTATTAAGGTAGATTCAGCAAGGGTTTTGAAGTATTCTTTTGTTATTGGGAGAATACTATGAAAAAGGCGATATAAAGTTAACAATGTTATAGTCAGATTATAGCTTGGATAGCATGTCTTAAAGAACGAGAGATCCTACTAGATATGGAGATACAAAATAATTTGAATGATAACTCTTTCATTGAATACAACACTGCAACAGAAAAACTAGTATGTGGTCATGTAATGTGAGAGCATCATAAACAGAACTGTGTGGGGAAAATAAATTGGGTTTTGTATAGTTTTCAAGAGTAGGAAATCATTGCCGTTTGCTTTTGGAATGAAATCCCAAACTTTGAAAGTCTATATGATGATAAACATTGGAAAGAATATTGGTTTGAACCAGTCAAGGTTTCATTTTTCTTTTTTTTTTTCATGTGTATGTTTATATATTTATGTGTATATGTTTATATATTGTTATATAATTTTCAGTCAAATGAAAACAAAGATTATTAGAAAAATTGAAATGAATATTTAAATGCCACTTGAACGACATCTCTGTCAGACATATTTTAATAATCTCTAGCCTATTTTCTTGATTCTTTTGAAGTTCTTTAGTGTTTATTGTTGGAATTTCATTTCTTAAAAATAAGTGTCTTTTGTTTTGCTTTTCATATCTAATCATAGTCGTTAAACACCATAGGTGCATTTCTTAACTTTTAAATCCTTGACTTAAGATACTTTTCAATAGTTTTTGACATCAAATATCAATTAAGTATTTGACACACTTCTTTATCCTTCAAGGGCTTTAGACAAATGGGTAATTTTATAGTGCCACAGTAAAAATCTGTTAGATCTTCATTACATATACAAAATGTCAAGCAGTTTTAACAACCGGGGTGAAGTGAGTCCATCGATCTTGGGACTAGAATGTTACAGAGTTTTTCTGTTACAGTTATTGATCCTGTTTGTTGCTTCAGTTGCCACAAACTGGAACACTCAGAATATATCTTAAGAAATAAAAGGTAACAGTGATGAGCTTAATACATAGCAGTTGTTAGTTTTGCAGAAAGAAATATTAGCTAGAACACTTTCCAAATAGTCCATATTTCTCATCTCCCAATAATTAATTGTAGCAGGCTTCTGTTTTCAATTGTTCTCCGATGCTGCTGCTGCTGCTTCTTAGGACTGGGATACCATTTATTTACCCTTAGAGCAGTATTTTTCTGAAGTGCTGAGCCCTGGCATAAGTCTTCTCTCAGTGAAATCAGTGGGAAGCTTTTCATTCATTTCCAGTCTTCCTTGTTCTGAAAATTCAACTTTTTAATGTACCTTTTATATTGTTTTTTGTTTGTTTTTTAAGACTATCCAAATTTTTAGAAATAAAAACAAAAGGATGGAATGACTGGAGTTAATGAGTTTTATTAAAATATTTTTACTTAATATTTTACTACTATGATTGTAACTCCAGGAATGACAGGCAATTACAGGTAGTTGTAAAGGAGTGAAGTCTGTAGGAAAACATGACGAAAATAACATTAATGTCTTAGAAATGGATCAGTCAGAATTGAAAAATCCCCATTTTGGGGGATTTTTCACTGCTGACAATATTTATCAAAACCCCAATTTAAGAATTGTTTAGAGATAATTGAAGCAATAGTGAACTGCTAAAAGAAAAACACAGTTCAGCCTACTGATCAAATAGCATTTGAAACATAAACAGAACAGCTTTGCTGATTTCTTTTCTAAGTATATTATGTGTAAGTAGAAAAATAACATATGAACCTTTGACAGTGCTTCCCTTACAAATCTGTGTACTAATACTGATTTTTGATGATACAGAACTACATGTCTCACTGCACAATGTTAATAAAGGAAGAGTTTGTCCTGCAGTTCTTATTCAACTGGAAGTTCTCTTGTTTTGACTGTGAGTTTCTCTGTATTGTTCCAGTTAATCTGTCTTGGAAGGCAAATGCACAGATACTGGTGCTTTGAAAAGTTACTATGTTAAAAAAAGAAATGTGAAAAATTAACAAAAAGGGTGACAGACCTTTCGCATAAGAAAAAAAACTGACAACTTGTATGTGCTCGTATCTTCGAAGCTGTGTTTACTGAAGGGTGAAAGTTCGTATTACAGCGAGCTGCTGATCTCCTTCCAAACATAGCTGGAGTCTATTAAGGACCGGCCCAACTAGCAAGAACAGATTTTTTTTATTATTATTATTTTATTTATTTTCCAGATTGAAGGAAATGAGTAGGATTTATAATTGCAATTGGCTGGAAGTGCCATGGGGAGATGGAGATTTAGGTATTGTATGATACTTTGTTTTTTGGGGTTTTTTTTTAACTTCTCCTGTTAATGCAGTGAATATATTTATTCTTTCTTGTTAGTGTTTACAAAGCAATGTAGGCTGCCCTTCCTGGTAAACTGTGCACCAGAGAACTTGGAACTAATGTGGCTTCTAAATATAGTTAGAGATACTTTGTATTCAGCATCTGTCAGAGACTATATCAGTAGGGAATTAATGCATTAACAGTTTTCAAATGGACTATGTTTGCTAATACTGCTGTTACAGTGAATGAAAAAATGTCCTCATTTATATTCTTGCTAATGCTTTCTAAGTGCGAGTCATAGCAAGTTTGTAGATTAGCAGAAGGCAGCAATCTAGACAAAGAGTATATTTTAAGACAACTTTGACGTTTATTTATGATACATATTTATTTTGCATATATTCTTGTCCCTGTGGTATTTAATGATTAATTACTATGTTTATTGATTAATCAGTTAGAATGTGAAAGTTTTTTTCCAAACTTGGTTTGCACAAAATATTTCTGCAGCATTTTGCTTACAGATTTTATTTCTAGTAGAGATCATACAAGTATTTTGTATTTAATGGATTTATCAGAAACAGCTGAAGTTGCTAGATGTCTCCACATGAATGTAAGGAATATGAGGTGTGTCTGGGTGCAAAACAGAGCTCACAATGGGATCTGGCATTATTTGATTCTCAAATGCCATTGGAGTAATGATATTAACATTCTTCTGAGCAATCTAATGAAGAAGGTGAAGGAAGGAAGGATGGAAAAAATGTTGCTTTCAGATCCTACCTGCATCTTTGCTCTGTTCAGAATTATACATGGCTACAAAAATGTCCTAAGTGCAAGTATATTTAATGGGCATAAAAACTTCATGATGCTTACAATTTTATTCGATGTTTTTCTATATAATACTTGTGTCTTCCCCCCCCCGCCCCCCTTAATTTAGGAGTAGGATCAACTGTCAAGAGTGAGAAGTTCTCATCTGTACAGAAGGGGGGACAACATTTCAAAAGCAGCCTCTAACTGCAGTTTTTAATTATTTTTGAGGAATTTTTTGCAGCTGCCAGCAGGAGAATTAATGGATCTAATTCATTTGAATTAAAACCACTCAAGTGCTGGTCCAGATACTACTACAGAAGAAGGATAACATGGGTCAAAATTCTCATAGTGATTACACATATCCAACCTACACTAGGATAAATATATCTGAGCTTATTGAGATGATTGAGAAAATACTGATGTTTTGTCAAAATCTGGTCACTTTAAGATTTCTGAGCTCAGTTTTTGTAGTATAATACCCCTTAAAATCCCAGTCAATTTGTATATGTTTTTTTAAGCTGTTCTTCTGACTAGTAATAAGAATCGCAAAATATTACATTTAATAAACCTAAAGTAAAGAGCATAGGGAATGATACGTGTGCACGTACATACACATACATGCATGCACAGATCATCAGAGTTTAGTGCAAATAATTCTGAAAGAGTATTGGAAGCTGAATCTGGCCTATGGTCCACTTGCTCCCATGGATGAAAGAGTACTAGGAGCTTCACAGATACTGGATACTCTGACATAACAGCAATCTCCATGCATTTTTAAGATCAGGTTTACAAAGCTTTAATCTCCTACATTTTTTAACTTCAGTGGTCAACTTTATATAGTCTTATGATAATTTAAATACTCAACTATGCCTTTTTTTTGCTAAGTTTTTCATCTCAATAGCATCCAGTAGTGCCAAGTTCCACAGTGTAGTTATATATCCTGTGAGAAGTTATAGTCCTATAGCCAATAAAGTTTCAGTTTTCATTCACTAACACCTCTAGGAAAATGAAGGTTTTATCTCAATTTCCATATTATGCACTATTTCATGTGTTTTTAACTATGCCCTGATTTCTTTTCAAGTTGTTCAGTCTTACTCTTTTCGGTCATTCCTCATGTGATCTAAGGGAATTGTTTATTGTAACCAAAAGTGTACTTTCTGAAACAGGTTAATGGACAGGAGTCCAGTAGGAAACAGAAACAGAGTCTGTTTCTAGTGGGTAGTTACCTTAAAGTGTAGACTGATGATTGCCAGTGATTGAGCAACAGCCTTCTCATTTAAAATTCATTGCCTTGTCACTAAAATGCAGTAACTGGCTTTGCAGGCAGTTCTAGTCCATTGCAACAAAGTCAAACACGTTTAAACATTGGGGATTCATCTGCTATTGTTACCAATTCATCATACTTAGATAATTCTCTCAGTGTTTCTTCAGGGATTCTGGGGAGCTTGATATAACTCACATGAGTGATTGTATTAAGATTTTACAGTTCCAATGATTTTCTTCTTACAGGAATAAATGTCAGTAATTCATAATATATTTTGAAGATGTTTCTTCCTTGTGCAATCTCTCAAAACTTAATTTGAAAAATTCATACAGTAAATTGGTATCAGCTATGTCTGGCTAGAAGGGACCTGTCAGTGGCCAGTCTTCTAGAGAAAATGGCAGTTCTTCATCAGGAGCCACAGGATGACTCTGGGACCTGGGTTGGGGGTTAAGCAGGGGTGTGTGTGTGAAGGCAGAGTGGTTGTTGGGTTTGGGTTTGGTTTTTTTCTCCCTTTCTTTTTGGGGGTGATAAACAAATTAAAATAAATGCTGAACCTTTACATTAACCATATCTAACTATTTTTAGCCCTAATAGCCTATTAGAATGTGAACTTAGACTTAATATCTTAATTCTACTATGGCATTTTTTTAGTGTGATTCTCACTGTATTTTCTCCCCTTGCACTTGTGTAATAGCTGCAGATTAATCTCATCGTACATAAGGATTTCCATATACATCAGCTTTTTCAGGACTTTTTCAGGCAGGTTTATGTCTAGTTTAAGTTCAAATACCAATTTGTTGAAGTCTATAAGTTTCTATATGCCAGGTGCAAAAATAAGTTATGTCATTTTTTTAAAAAATGAACGATGCAAAATAGAAGTGGGAAATATGGCAATTGATGAATTTATTAAATCATATTACTGAAATAAATGTATCAACATTTTGTTCTCTGTACCACATAATTTGTTAAAGATATTTATAGTTAATAATAGAGCAGTTTTATTGTCTAGAAACTGATCAGTTGAAATACAGTCTCTAAAGTTAATTTCATAGGACAGCTGACTTCATTCTGTGATTATATTTTCTGCTTTGCTCTATGCATTCCAAAATCTTTCTTATTATATGGTTTACTCAATAAATGTTGTTATTATATAGGTTCTTGGGCAGATCGCTCACCTCTGCATGAGGCAGCCAGTCAAGGACGTCTTCTTTCTCTAAAGACTTTATTGTCACAGGTGAAGGCTGTGTTCTTAAAATTGCTTTCATTTTTAATGTTACTTAATTTCTCAGTATAGATTACTAATAAATATTTGGTATGCTTTGCTTTTTTGTTTTTTGGGGTTTTTTTACTTGAATTTTTCAGAGCAATACACATTTAGGAATTTTTTTAAATTATAAAATATAAGTTAATACTTAAAGTATTGTAAAACTTCCTCTCAAAAAAAATTTTTACCAAAGCTGTATCTAAATCATCTGTATATCAGTCTTCTCCTCTCACATGTTTTAAGTCAATGCAGTTCCACTGCTTTAAGCCGTCAGTTAAATAGAGCTAGTCAGGAAGATACTTGTTGATGGGAAGAATCACAAAAAGATTCTGTTTTTTGCGTAGTTGTGCTTTTTAAAAATATATTTTGTTAATAGCAAAGTCAGAGACTGTAAACCACTGAATTTTAATATTACACTATTGTCATACTAGCTGCTACGATATTGAAAAACTATACAATAGCATACATTTGATAAAAGCCAATAGATGCAATTTTTAGTTGTTAAGAATCAAACAACATCTGCTGTAGAAAATTGCAAGGACTTTATGATTTTATCAATGCAAGAACTGTTTACTTTGCTAAAATTGATGGCTTCAGTTATTTCAAACCTTAAGTCAGAGAATCGTATAACCACAGGACAGTTTAGACTCAGGGCATTGTTGAGTTCTGAAGATCACCAAGAATGGAGATGCACCGACCTCTCTGGACCCCTATTCCAGGGTTTCACTATCCCCACAATGAATTTTTTTTCCATATAACTAATTGGAATTCACCATGTTCCAACTTGTGTCTGTTGCTTTTTGTCCTATCACTGTGCATCTCAACTGTGTTTCCATCTTCTTTATACCATTCATACCCTATTCCTATTTCTGATTTTTTTTAAAAAATAAGAGATAACAATTTTTATTCTGTTATATACATTGATTAGTGAAAGATTCTTTTTATTCTCACTGAGGACTTATTTGTTACAGCTAGAGTTTTAAGTCTATTTAGAGTATTGTAAACTATTAATTTGAACAGTAGTACAAGGAAATGACTCTGAACAGCTTTTGTATGATCTTTATATGTCATTTATATTTTCTTTAGGGGTACAATGTAGACTCACTAACAATTGACCAAGTAACTCCGCTTCATGAAGCCTGCCTGGGAGATCATGTTGGATGTGCAAGAATCCTTCTTGAAGCAGGAGCAAATGTAAGGGGTTTTTTTTTCTGTATATGAAGTCCAATGCTAACCTTAATTTAACTGATAAGTGTCTATTCCTTTTTTTTTTTTTTTAGTTGGTATTTCTCTCTACTCCCTCTTATTGATTGCATTCATCTCATTTAATTACCAGAAGCTGCCATCTGAAAGCTAACAAAGAAAACTGATGAAAAGAAAAAAAACAGCCAAACAAACAACGTAATTATATGTGTAAGAGTAGATATCAAACAGAAAAACAGTATCAGGGAAAATAGATGGGAGCTGGGCAAACACTGAGACAGAGTAATGAGCTGGAGAGAATCTGCTGGCAGTATGTCACCAGCCTTATTTCTTCTCTGAATTTCATTACATTATTTATCTTCTAAAATACGGAATGCATCCCTCTCCTTTACTGGTTTCCTCTTGCTTTGAGTGGCTTGCAGGAGACTGTTCTTTTAATCTCCAGAATGTCTTTTGTCACACTGCAGCTGTGTGCTCTTAAGATTCTTTGGTCTGAGTACAAAAAAGCACTGGCTCTTTTCTGTTCTCCCGACACAGGCTGTCTGTCTGTTATCCCAAAATAAATATGGGACTTCACAGGCCACTTTCACTACAATCTCTGCTGAAATCAGAGTTCAAACGCATAGTTTCCCAAATCTCTGATTGTTATGATGGAAATATTTATTGCCTCTACAGTTCAGTTTTGAGAACCATGTAGAATATGTCTGTGTTACTACAAAAAATAAAAAAATACACAGTTGTTTCAAAAAACAATTCGTCTCCACTTGAGCTAGTACAAGGATTCTAAAGATACAAAACTATAGATACTATAGACAAAAGTATAAGAACAAATTTCATTTTCCTATCTGATTTTTTTTAGTATTTTTATTCATTTGGTGAATTTGGGGGACACATGGAAGAGGACAGAGTCTTGGAAGGAGCCTTGTCCTAATGCCTGTGCTCCTTCCTTTATTATTATTTGTCCTCACAAATTTGCCTAGTTTCTCTCCTTATTCTCTCACACTGGGAATATTCAGTTAACCACTGAGGTGGCGTGGCTGGTATTAAAACAGTGAGCCTGTACTACTAGCTTTGTCTCCATCCTGTGAAATATCACTCCAACCTGAAGATTGAAACCACAGAAGAAAATGGAAAATTATTCTCCCATTTAATATGGAGTTTGTGTTCTTGGCAGAGCTGTGGAAAGAAGGTCTCCATTATCCCATTACTACACAAAGTGTAGATTTTCTGTATCAATGAAACAAGCTAAGTGCAAAGACTTTTGAAAATTATTTATTGTTAATGTGTGCTCTTTAGTATTCCAGGTGTATTTTGGTTTATTCAACATAGTTTAACAGGAGTAACAGTAAACTAATTTCAACTGAGGGTGTGGTGAGAGGAAGAGAGTAGCGCAAAGACCGATCAGTTAAGATATGTTATTCTAAACAGTACATTTTTTGGTATGTTAATGCAATTTCTAGCTATGTCCTGTTTAAAATTTTACCTTTCTTTCACTTCTGTTCTTAAATAGATTTTATATATTCTAGGTAAATGCTACAACAATTGATGGAGTGACACCTTTATTTAATGCATGTTCGAGAGGCAGCGCAGCATGCGCTGAGCTCCTGTTGGAGTACGGTGCCAAAGCCCAGTGGGAGTCCTGCCTTCCATCACCAACTCATGAAGCAGCCAGCAGAGGTAAGAAACTACCTGCAGAACAAACATGGAGCAGTTGACGAATGTCTCAATAATAGTGTTCAGAAATGTGTCTGGTTTTGTCTATGAGACATTTTACTGAAGTCAGGCAAACTCTGTCATGCTTTGTTCTGACAGGTCACAGTGAATGTCTGGAGGTACTGATATCCTGGGGTATAGATGTCGATCAAGATCTTCCTCATCTAGGAACACCTCTGTATGTAGCATGTGTTTCACAGCAGATCCATTGTATTCGAAAGCTTCTTTATGCAGGTATCTCGTGATTTAAATAAAAATATTAGTATTTTGTAAAACAAACATACTGTACTCACCTTGAAGTGAGCTGTGCTCTGTCAATGAAACTAGATTTGCTTGCAGGGCTCTAAGTTTATTCTGTGATGCATATTTTCTTATAGTAACTTACTATATCTCTTTTTTTGTGGCATAGCAAGCATATGAGGGGGGAAAAGGAAGCAAGACCAATAAGAACAGATGTTCAAAATTTTTAGCACCTACTACAGCTTTGCAGATATTATTTTTTTGTAGGAAAAACAAAGGTGAAATACCAGCTTTGAGAAAGGAATTCTGTATAGTAATCACTGACCTTTCAACAGAACTTTTTTAGCAATGCAGTCCTGCCCTTTTTCATTCTGCAGCATGTTCTGATTAATCATTTTACAAGGCATAGAGGCTGAGTTGCAGAGAGAATAGGTGAGGTAAAAGGCATTTGATCCTAATTTCACATTATTTATTTAATCAATGGGAAAGAGATGCTGGAGGCTCACTCTGATTCAGCACAAATCCAGGGACACAGTCAGCATAGCTAAAGGCTCATTTGCTGTGTTTCAGGTAATGACATATAGGGCTTTTGTGTCCTGCAGCACAATGAATGAAAATGTAGAGATGAATAATTACAGAGTTGTCATCCTTGTACTAGAATTCTGTTTCTAGTTAATTGCAGGTTATTTGGAACTTAAGTAAGTAGTTAAATTGTTTCTTGTTAAGTCAATCTCCTTGTATGATTCGCTATCAACTGCAGAAGTATAATTACCATATTTTGGGATTCAACTACTACCATGCGTTAAAAACAGTAACAGAAGGGCATATTCTACATTTGTTGGTGCCCTAAAGTAGAAAAGGGAATCTAAATTGAGAATATAAGTAACTACTTATGTCAATCTGATTTTTTTCATATTTTATTAGTTTATGAGAACGTGTTAGAAGTCAAAAAGCAAATAGACAATGAAATAGGCAAGAGAATGATACTGTGGAAATATTCTCAAATTGTTAATACTAAGAACAGTGAGTTATTCAGACTTCAAATCTAATTGCTAGGCCTGTGGTATTACTATTTTACTCAAATGGGATTTTAAAAGGCAAAAATTGTTGATTCTGCGAGAAAAGTTGATACAGAAGCCAATGTTTGGTCTCACGAGATCAGTAAAGCTCTCTTAAGAGGTCTGGGTTTTTCTTCTGCTAGAATAGTCTAGAAAACTGTTGGGGCAAACCCAGTTTTAGGCGGACTAACAGCTTGCTTATAAGGGAAATTCTTCCATACTATCTAGTTTTGTTTAACTCTTGTATGGATAACTTTTTCTTGAATATGAATGCATTATTGCAAATTAATTTTGTCCATTTTAATTTAAAATAAATTAGAAATTCCTTATTAATACAAAAGTGTAATAATTAGAATTCTGTGGACTGGGAGAATTAAGGCTTTGGTTTTTTTTCTTCTGATAGTTTTCTTGACTGTGACCCCACCTTAATTAAAATTAAGTCCTTTATAGAAGAATCCTTGATAAATGTTGGATGAGATGGGAATCTATTTCAAACCCTTTGCCAGTTTCAACGCATGAAAAACGATAAAGCCTCTAAGTTAGATTCTTTCTTGAGTTGGTGTACTTACAAAAATATAAATACTAAACTTCAGTTTAGTGATTCTTTTTGAAGACTTAAATAAGGAAAGTATATTTTTATGTAGTGCAAATTATCTTAAATTTACTTTTTAATAATTAGGGCAACAATTATGCTCATGTGATCTAATTTGATTTTTCTTTTCCTTCTTTTTATGAAGTATTTTCTTTTAAAATCTAGTTCTGCTTGGGTAACAAAACCTAGGATAAGCGTATGTGTTCAAAAAAACCCACTGATATGAATAGCTATAGTGCTATGCAATAAAATAAAGTGGCTAAATTCACTGTGGCATTCTAGGACCGTAGGGGTTTTTTGCTTGTTTTGTAAAATCGTCTTTACTCAATGGCAATTTTAATTAATCTCTTCTTACGTCTCTTTATGTGCCTTTACCCACCAGGTGCCAATGTGCAGAAAGGGAAGCATTTGGAAACTCCACTCCATGCTGCTGCCCAGCACTCTAGTACAGAGATCATAAACTTACTTCTTGAATTTGGTGCAGACATAAATGCCAAAAATACAGATTTTGAGAGGCCTGTTGATTTAGCTGCTCCAAGCAGTTTAGTGGAGAGACTGCTGCTCCTCCATGAAGGTAAGTGTTGCACATGTGTTTTTGCAACTGTAACTTGTATCCTTAAAAAAAACCTCCCACTCCACCTCAAAAAACACTCCAACAGCTCAAAGAGCCCACGTTACAGAAGCTAACATTGTGCTTTATGAAATGAATATATTAACATTCAGGTAAATTCCTTTCTAACTATAAAAATACCCACTAATATTTAGTCTCAGGCCAGAACCTGTTGACCGAGCAGCATCAGAATTTATACAAGCTGAAAAATTATCATCTTATGTTTATTGAGTGTTTATTAATAATACATTTAGTTTGGGCCAGCTGTCCCAATATTTTTTAAAATATATTTTTAAGTGCACATAAAGCATTGTCCTGGTTTTGCTAGGATAGAGTTAGCAAAACCAGGGCAAGCACTTTATTTTGATTGTAGGCAAAAAGTATAGTAAGTTTCATTTTCTAAATTTTCTTTACTGAATTATAAGTACCTGAGAAATAGGAGTCAACACTTGAATCCCTCAAAACTCTTAAAGGTCTGTTGCCTTAGAGAGAGAGAGAGAGAGAGAGAGAATATCCCAAAGGGGATTGGATTTGTTCAGATTGACCTATGTACAGTGTGAAAATAAGCCACAAGACAAGGTGGAAAATAAGCAGAGAAACTATTGCCATAAACTGATAAGTAGCACTGATTAATATTTTTCCTCCAGAAAACATCTTTGTAGTCTGAATGCTGTTTAAAAAACCCTCTAAAAACAGCTGGTTATCACAAAATTACCAAGGCGAGTAGGATTTTTAAAAGCCACAGCAAAGATGTAAAGAAAAAATTAATGGTCATGAAATGCATATGGTTTTATTGCCCAGAGAAACACAGCAGTGTATTCATTTTGAGGGAATGGGGTGGGGCATAGAGGGACAAGGCCATTATCATGAGCTAGTAAGAGCCCTAAACATGGTCCAGGATCTCAGGATATTTTGTCTCCTTATTCATGTTGCATTGATGCATTGGTAGTGCAGCTTGTAGTGCTGTAGCATGTATTTCACCTGTTCTATAAACAGAAAAAAATACTGCCAGTTTTAATGTTGTTGACATCAGTTATTTTCTGGGAGCAGGTTTTTAATTTCAAAGCACAAATTATTTGCTGACCTGACCTTGCTTTTTTGAGTATTTTCCTGATCATTAATAAGGTTTGAGCAGCCCGGATCTTTATCTTTGAGGGCAAAAAGGCAATGAAGGAAAAGGGAGGAAAGAAAAGGACAAATTTGTGAAGTGTGAACAGTTTGTTGTTTGGTTGTTTGTTTTTTGTTTTGTTTTGGGTTTTTTTTTTAGAAATCCCATTATTGTGCAGGACTGTTGTAAAACAAAGTACTGGCTTTTGTAGTTGTGTAATTAAACCCCTTTCTTTTTTGCTTGCAGCCACACCATCTTCTCTTTGTCAGCTCTGCCGGCTATGTATCCGAAATTACATAGGAAGAGCTAGACTGCATCTTATCCCACAACTGCAGTTGCCAACAATACTGAAGAATTTCTTACAGTATAGATAACACAGTAATTAACCTTTAGAATATTGAATAACAAGTATTTTTTCTTCTTTCTGTTTATTGTACATTTTCTCTAAAGAGCGGCTGGGTGGAAAAAAAGCCTTTTGCATATTACTTAAATATATATATATATCTTTGACACCTGGTGTTGGTATATAATAATAATGGGGAGCCATTCAGCAACTGGTACCAAGGTGCTAATAAGGCTGAATTGAATAAGTGTGCCGATACTCTGGGAAGTTATTATATAGCTTTAGCTTAACACTTACTAAATAGCTTTAGTGCTGTTAATTTTAGTTGTATTTATACTTTTAAAATGTTTGACACACCTCAACCACAAAGAATTTCTTCATTATTATTTGTTAACTTTGTCCATTTGGAGTCATTATTTTATGTGTTTTTAAATTTCTATTGTTTGTGTGCCTAAAAATACTTGTTGATAGGTACACTATATACATTGATAAAAATAAAACAAATACATGCCAATTTTTCTTCTTTTTCTTTATATAGACAATTCATTAATGACAGTGAGAAACTTCCTTTATTCTTCCACACTCCCTGTGCTATGAATTGGAATTATGCTGCTGTGAACATAATCACAACTTTTTCAGCCATACACAGTTTATAGATTCTTTGTTTATTAATACAATTAGTACTAATTTAAAAATTCCAGAGGAATATTCCTCAGAAGCCTTAACACTGAGATATTTTTTTATCTCCTCTTGTAAAACAGAATTCTCTTGGCTCTTTCCTTATCTTTTCATAATGATGCTGTATCGTAACTCAAGGGCATATTATATAATTATTTGTCTCAGAGAAAGGCATATATTATTGTATAGTATCTGTGAGGTTTCTGAAGGCATATTGTGGAGGTGCAGAATACTGAATCTTCAAACTCAAGTTCAGGAGATGGATGCAAGCCTCCAGAAATACATCGGTTCCCTGTATCAGGACAGGTATTGTCACCGAAATCGGGAATAAACTTCTTAACACCAATGTAGTTTTAAGAAGCAGGCACATTATTTCTCTTGCTGTCTAGTTTATATACAGTTACCCAGCTCCAAAATTCATGTTTCAGAATCCCAGAATGCTCTAGCTGGCATTTCTGTGTGTGATCAGGTTTAAATTCTATTGTTCAGCTCTCTAGCCAGAGAAGGAATGCTGACACCCCCAAGAGACAGTAGAAAACCCAAAGGATTTCTGCCTTGCTCATGCCCTTGCATGGTGGTGATTGCCAGTCATGTGAAAAAAGGTGATCTGACTACGTCAAAATACAGCTACAGCGCTCCTTCCCTCAGTCTTTTAATTTGGTTTTCCTTTGAGAACAGATTACTATCCTCAGTGACTAATACTCAATTCCTGCAAACCAAAGCATGAGTCACCTGAAAATTTACCACTTGTCCTTGATGATTCACCCTCTTCCATTCCTTTTCAGTGACCCCTTTCAGTATTTATGTTCCTACTGGAAAGTGTGAAGTGAGGACCTAACTATAGAGGAAGTTTTCACAAAGAAGAATGCTTACTCGGTTGCTAAATTGTATCCACCTAATAAAAATGCAGCTCTCTGACACTTGTCCTTGTTAAAACTAATATTAATTTGCTTCTGTTCCCTGCAAAAACTCTAGTGAGGGCCTCTTCAGGAAGCCCTGTGTGATGGTGAGCTCCGCCCCCACCTGATCTTTATTTCCCGTAACCTTTATTTCCCTGTTCAAATGATAACCACCAGTGGTGACCATAATGGATGCTATCTGGTCGTGCAAGATGCATCCGGCTCAGGGGAGACTGATAACAACACAATAGCCAAGGACTGTCTTGTGCAACTTGCTCCAACAGCGGGGGGCTTGCTGAGTGTGCACCAACCAAAATACAGCTGGTATGCAAATATGACTGTAGGTCAATCATCTTACTCCATAAGTAGTAGACACTCCAGGGCCCCATTGAGCTCTCCTGAAATGACAGCAGGCTGCATGCCAGGATCTCCCCTTGAGTAGGGACACCTCTCAAGGTTACTCCTCGAGGTCGAGAGATTTCTTGCTGCAACAGATCCTTGGTAAGTGACTAATAGCATGCTAACTGCAAACTCTTAGCTGAGTGATATAAAAGATTGATTGCGCACATATAATCCTTTAGATATAAACCATTGATCGAGCCTGGGACTAGGACTGGATCCAGCCACACCCAGTCTCCTCTCTGAGAATGAGTTTAGAAAGCAAGGGGTCCTTTCCGAAACCCTGTGACTGAACGGGAGGGTCTCCCTGACAGTTGTGTCTGACCCTGTCCTCTATGCAGTAAATAATCAAGTGAACCTCACCATCGAATCCTGTTAAATAAATGTCACATTAACCTTTGAACTTTGTTAATTCACTATTTTAATATCAATAAATATATATTAATTACATCTCTTATGAATGAAGTGTATGACTCAGACCCCCTATCTGACACTCTACCTCCTTTCTCCTCTCTCCACCACCCACAACACCCTGTAAAGGAAAGTCAGCTACAAGTAATAGGAACTGCTTAGGAGCCCATAACATACATAATCTGAGATGGGTCAGTTTGGTTTTCATCCAGAAATTAGTAATTTGTGGTTTTATATGTAATACCATTACTGTGTATTACTTCAAGAAACAAGGAAGTGACAGGCCAACAATGGCACTGTTGAAGTTTTCTGTGTAGAATGGGGTCATTTAGACTCTCACCTTCAGGTGCGTGCAGCACTTTTTCAGTTTGACGCAGGAAAAGTACCATTAAAAAAAGTGCTCTCATCTTCTATACAATAAGATCAGTTTTAAGCAAGCATGGCTATTCTGCAAAACACCTGTTTGAAAGAAAACTAGATGATGTCCGAAGTTTTGCTGAGAATCACATCAGAGTCCAAGCCATTTCATTGCAAATAGGTGTGTTCATGTTCTCGTGGCATTTGCAATGTCTGTTTCCACCATTCCCGCTGATCCTCGCTGTCATCCGCAGAGCAAACAAGACCGTCTATCAGAGTTTACAGGTATTGGATACAACTTTCTCTTTACTTCCATGGAATGGTAGACTAGCGAGAAGAGTAATCCAGAACTAGTTTGCAGTAGTATTATGAGTTCAGTCTTGGGCAATATGCAGCTCTCAACATAATCTTTACTCTTTTGCTACCAGATAATTATATGAAAATAGAGTCACTTTGGCAAGCTGAGCCAAGTTGGATGGGCATCACTTCTGTTACTATGTAACAGGAACAAACAAAATAAGGAATGGCTCTTGTTGCCCTGGCAGGACTATGTGCTATGTAGAGAACAGGTCTCTGGCAGATAGAGCACGCTAATGCCACATACCAAAATACATAGTAACGAAATACCTGACATTAGTCTTCGGTAAAATTCTTTCCAAAAAATGATTCCTTGTTTAGCCAGAAATGAAAGGAAACAGGCTTGTTATTGTTCCTGTTATGTGGGGGCCCCATTACAATGGGGCTCTGATGGGTTCAATTCTTAGTATGAAAAAAATGTGAAGTAATGTATTAAAATATTGGAAACCAGGATCTGAAGCAACACATTGAACTACGTCAGAGCGCCGTTAAAGGTTACTACAGGACACGCCTTCCTTACTGGCTGAAGCAGCTCTTATTATATGAATTATTATAGCAGAAAAAAGTATCATAAAACATTTTCAGGAAAAAAAAAAAATTGTAGTGTAATATCTCAATTCTGCAAAGAAACCCAGCGGTGCAATCCTGCAGGCTTGCTGAAAAAGCACTCGGGGGGCACGCAAAAGGCACCGCACCGGCGTCTCAGACAACACGGAACAGGAGATCGTGCGTTCCCCGCCGGGGCTG